AATAAAACAATGCCTTGGATGCTTTTAAAAAGAACACAAATAGTTCAAGATCAAATAACAAAATTTACGGCTACTTTTCATTCATAAAAATATGAAAAAAAAACTCAAAAATCACGCTCCAATTTTCCATACAATCGTGAACGTTGTATGGGAAACCAAACTTACCACGCAGACGAAGTCGCATGCACCCACTAGTAAGTTAATATACCCAATTATTTAAACAGTCATTGGTGTCGATTCTAGCATGATTATCTAAACCTAAACTTAAATTTGACAGCAGTATATCCTTGTCATTCTCTATACAGAATGAAAGGGAGAGACTGATGTTAAATTTAGTTTTAAGCTTAGAGAATCACGCCAGAATCGACACCATTATCCGGGAATAAATATTTATATTATGCCTCTACCGGGATTCGTGCTCAGGTTCTATGGAGCAGAAGGCAGAATAGCTATCGTTGCACGAACTGGTCATCAGAGGTGTATTTAACCTAGGGCCTAAGGCCATGGCCCTAGGCGGCAGGTAGCGAGGGGCGGCTGTAAAGGTGCTATCCCACGATCTGTGTTGTCGTCGTATCGTATCATGTATAGATACTGCTAAATCTCGAAAGTTAGAGTTCTCTTACGTTTGGCAACCCTGCGCGGCTCGGCCACGCTTGCGACAACACAGATCGTGGGATAGCGCCTTAAGAGTTGCGTAGGGCGGCAAAAGTCATAATTATGAAGGCATTTGTTAGTGACCTATATTTTGATATACTAATTATACTATTATTATTATTATTAGGGCCGTGGTAGCATAATGGTCAGTGCATTCGCCCGGATAGCGAAGGATGCGGGTTCGAGTCCCGTTCGCTGCCTGGTCCGCGTGGATTTTTTTCTAGTAAACTTTTCTTTAGATTTAAACATCTAGCAGTTAAATGCTTAAAAAATAAATAAAATCATACTAATTACGCCCCTGCCGGTCATTATAAACTAGGCTAGATGTGTTGAAAATTCTGGGTATTTGAAAAATCAAAGATATAAATTTTTAAGCTGTTTTATTTAATAATTAATATTGATACAGATTGGCTTCGATCAACAATTCTATAAATAACGCGTCAGCGCGTAAAATCCGTCTCGTTATATATATCCTCACTTGCGGCGTGAGATCTTATTTTAAATTAATTTGTTCGGTTAATACAAAACGTAGTAACTCGCTGGCCAATGACTGGTAAAAATATTTTATTTTGAGGGTCATAAGGTTGCTTTCACATTTTCCTTTTTTCACATTTTCATTTTTTCCAAGTATCAGATATAATTTATAAATGGAACAAGAGTTCGTTTTATAAGATAAAAGGTCGTATGTGTGCGAAATAACATTTTGTTGTTTGTAATCTTATTCCTTTGTGAGATAGCTGTTATTAGGTTCATCTTAAACTGTTTTAAAACTTTTATCTTTGTTCATTGGGAATCGAATGTAACTGCATAAGTTTTAACATACGCGGACAGTTTCAGCTTTGATTTTGTATGCAACCCGTTATCTATAGAATTGTTGATCCAAGCAGATTGGCTTCTATAGGTTAATGCGGGTTATCCATTCAAGGCATTTTGTGTTAGTATATCACTACTTTCTACTCTCTATGGGCTATAAGATACCGACATTTTACCTAACTCAGTTAAAAGTATATAATTATGTAATTTATTTAAGGGAATTATAAAATTATGTATTTATTTTTTATACACATCAGTAGATAGGGTACACTTATTACTTATGTCAATACATTTGCCGACATCTTAGCACAGAGAAGTTTTAAGTTAGGTTCCTATAAAATATGAAGGTTTTACAATTTACAAACAATGCTGTCAGCTGGTGTAAATATGGAGTACGCTCTAAGGACATATTTTATGCGAATTAAGCAAACCTATAAATCTGTTTTTTTTTTAAAGTCGATTGTTATAAAATTAAGGGCGACTAGAATTCCGTGAAATGCTTTTTAAAAAAAATATTTGTAATTATCTAAATATATTTTTATTCATAAGTACTTCAATATTGTCATTATTTGTAAATTCTTTAGATAATAATATTAAGTGATATTTTAAAAACTAATAGGCAAAACGAAATGTATCTACTTTTTGTGAATTTTTAAGAAAATAATTTTGGTGTATAATGAAAAATTAAAGGTAGCAAAAATAGATTAATGCAGAAGCAGAAAAAGAATAATTTCAAATATTATATACTTATTTATTTAATACATATTCAATTAAAAGAAAAAATTGTTGGTTTAGTTGAGCGAAAAATATCTATTTACAAGAAACAAGGTACTTATTTTAGATTTCACTAATTAAAAAGAATTGAAAGTAATTAAAAGCTTTGTTGCAATGCAAACACTTCTTCGGTTGTAGTTGTTGCACGCGGCAGATAGAAAAGTTACTGTAGAATAAGTATATCATTTACTATTATTGCAAAACATGTATACTCAAGTTAGACACATGTTTAATTTTTCTATAAAATATATCGGATCACATTGTTTCTAAGACAGTTACAGACACCATAGTAGTTTTAAAATTAATGCCTGTTCATAACTTGAGATTTTTAGACTTAATTATTACTCTTAAATATTTTACTAAGGAATTGCAGATACAGAGAACATATGATAATTTTTTCTCTAATTTAGATTATATAAAATACATAAATAAATTTATCTTGAAGCATCGCCAATACATTTTATTTTTATCTACTGAAGTTATTATACTTACAAATTTAAATTTACTTTATTATTATAATTATAAATCCAAACAATCTACTAAATTATTGGTCATCTATCACACATAATTGATACGTACGTCAAATACTTTTTTTTATTTTATACATAATTCAATATTATATTTAGTTATATATTTCTTACTTCTCGTATAGAATTTGTCGACTTTTTCCACATTTACTTTAATATTTAGTAACAATTTGCAATGAATATTATGGTTTTAAACGATATTGTAGAATTGTACATAGATAAAAATGTGATTCAAATGCAAAGTTATATTGCTGATATGCAGTTTCCGTCGATAGAGAGTTCAGTAAATTCTTAAAGTTAAGTGCATGTAAAACGTATACATTAAGAGACACGTTGTCAGTCTGAGTTTATTGGTTTGTTTCGTTATAAGTAACGTGTTGTGTCTGCATCCCCCCCTCCGTGCAGTTTGCATACAAATCTATAAAAACAATAAATTTAGAAAAGTGTGAAAATTTCAAAATCCACATCAGTCTTTTTACAAACTCAGTTCGACTAGTGATGCTAGAAAAAGATCCCTTGGAACTTTTTTTTTTAATTTCAAATAGGACGGTTGTTGTTGACAAAGGGAATTGGAAAAGTCCTATTAGGTATCACAAAAAAAAACAAAAATACGCTCGTAAGAGAAAACTACTTTCTTGTGTCATTTTTAAAGCTTATTTATACACAAATACCTCTACTAAATTTCTTACTGTTCGATATTTACTTACAAAACAGACGAATTTTACTTTTTTTTAAAAAATTAATAGTTATGCACACTTGAGTTCAAGCCCAAGCAATAGAGTCAAGCCAAACAACAAATTTTTGCCGCACTCTAGGTTTCATACAGATGTTAAGGTAGGTTGTAGGAAGCTTAAGTTTAAAAATCGGGGAATGTAGGGTGGTCACAACTGGCCGCCATATTGGAAAACGCGTTTTTCTCTATATTATCGAAGTTATTGACTTTACGAAAAAAATTGTGCAGTGCTTTTTTGTTTATTACTTTTTTGTCTAAAACTTTTTATTGTAACTCTCACCGCTTTTTAATTATTGTTGTTTATTTCAACATTTTGCTTTTTTTCCTTTATAAGACCTTTAAAATGCCATTCATTGATAAAAAGCTTCTTACGACCGACTCTAACATCTGCAAAAGCTAGAGTGTGGCAAAATTTTGCATTACGATCAAGTATAACCGGCTATATTGTTCAATCGAAAATCTGACTGGTCTGAGTAAAGTAAGAAGATTGGTTGCGCAAGATTGCCCAGTAGGGAAGTTTATCCTAAACAATAGAAAGTAAACATTTCCAATGCGCAATCAAACGCTTACTTTGTCAGCCGTATATGTATAGACTACAGTTAACATTTTTTGTATATCAAAATCAACCAAATTTGAATTTATTCAAAATGCTCACTCTTTTTTTCTATCTTTCATGATTTTGCCTAAATAGCACCTGACGTTTCGACCAGCATTCAAATTTTGAATTTTCACGAGTCACTAGCACTTTTAAATGTTTGTTAAGACCAAGTGATTATTATATATAGAGCTTTCATGACTTACATCATTTGTTGATATTTTTATTATAAGATATGGGTACCTTTTAGTTTTATCAACCGAGATCACTTGAATTTTTATAAAAACACACCATTGAAAATATACAATTTAACGCTTTAATCTCTTGCAACTAATATTTTTTGTAACCCCATAGCCAGCAGTGCTGTACTGTAAGAACAATATCGACGGTGTGTTTTGAAATTCCAGTTCTAATTTTAAATCACACCGCGGATTATGAGGTGAAACGTGTGTTAATCTGACAGAATTGCACTGCAAGTTACTAACTACGTATTCCCAACACTATCGACAAACCTTCTTCACACGACTATGAAATAAAAGAAGTAAGATACACTATTGAGATCCAATTTTGCATAAGCTCAGCAGAATCGACTCCATCTTTGAAGATAGAAACTACTCCTTTATACATACATATAAATATGTGAAGTCTTGCAGTACATGACAGGACTTGTCTGGCGTTCATAAAACGGCCCTTTTCGCATAGGTATAGAGTGTGAAGTTATAGGTAAGTGAGCAGGATTCGGACTCTGTCGAGTGTAGTTGCAGGTAAATGAGCAGGATTCGGCCTGTGTCGAGTGTAGTTGTAGGTAAATAAGCAAGATTCTGCCTTTGTCGAGTGTAGTTGTAGGTTGATGAGCGTGATTCAATGAACTCTTATATCGTGCGCGTATCCAGGCGTAGTATCCTCAGGGCTGGGGCTAATGTCGAGGTGCAGGCGGATATAGTTGAAGTAGTTATAGGTGAATGAGCAGGATTCGGCGTCCTCCGCAAAAAGTTTATTTTTATCTTATAGCCAGGTTGGCAAATGACTCTACCCCACCTGATGTTATTAAGTAGTAATAGAGTCCAAACGCGAAAGTTGTGGTTAGATGAGCGTGATTTTTTAGAGATGCTGGGGGGTATTCAATGCACCCTTATATCGCGCGCGTGCACAGGCGTGGTATCCTCAGGGCTGGGGCTATCGTCGAGGTGCGGGCGGATGTGTACGACGGAGCGGCGCTGGTCGCGCATGACGAGTCCGCCGAGACCGTACCCGGGGCCGAGAGCGCCGGACCCGCTCAGACGCATCTTCTCCGGGTCCTCGTCCAGTTTCACGGACGAGAATACGGTGCTGAGGTTCAGCTGCGGTATGTCGTAGAACACTGTCAGTGTCAGCATCAGGAACGTGAGACCGATGATCAGGTAAACTGTGAGAAAGTACGAATCATTTCATTATAATAATAATAAAAATAATAAATATTTCCAACACTCACACCAATTAGCCTAGCCCCAAAGTAAGCACTGTAAGGCTTGTGTTATGGGATACTAGGGTAACGGATAGAATACATATACTGTACATATATAAGTATATTTTTATATAGAAATGCATATTAAACATCCATGACTGGAGTACAAATGTACAAGTGCAAACCAATCGACCACGGAGGTCGTCAATTATGTATGACGGGGTGTAGAAAACTGAATTATTCAAATACATTGCCAATGTCTTCGTAAAGTAATAACTTCGTAAAATACAATGAAAATAAAGCAAAAGCAACGCTTTGACACTAACTTCTCTTGCTACAGAATAGTAGCAAAATAATCTCTTTAATACGGAACAGACCATAAAACATAAAATTATAGTTTTGTAACATTAAGAAAAGGGCACATTTTTTTACAGCGGCCCAAAGACAAACTTTGACAGCTCCGTTATCGTATCGCATCGTCAAAGTTTCTATGAAAACTAAGCAGCGTAATACCGGACGTAATAAGAACTTGACTTTCCCATAAAAAAGGTGTACGAGGTAACAAAGGAAACCTTTGTAGTTACTTATAAAAAAAGATTAAAAATACTCTCAACTCACAAGTGGTGGCGACTTTGTACAGCGGGCGGTAAGGCTGCCCTGGCGCATCCCCGGGGATGTAGTCTCCTAACCCGATGGTGGTGAGAGATATGAAGCAGTAGTAGAACGAGTCCAGGAAGTCCCAGTCGGGCTCGATGGCTGCGAACACCACCGCGGGCAGCACGAGGAAGAATATCACCAACACCAGCACTGTGGGGATGGATATACTAATTAGTAGTAATTGTAACTTGTAGTAATTGTTTTATACAACAAGGTAAACGAAGTTCTGAATATATTTCCTCTTACTCTTAGAAAATGCAGGGTAAAAACTATGGAATGGCTTGAACACACACACACACACACACACACACACACACACACACACACACACACACACACACACACACACACACACACACAAAATTGTTTTCTGGAGGTGAGCGTTAATAACTGCGACACAGTTTTATAACTAATGCAGTTATTATCGATCACTATTGTTATTGTATCTTTGTTATGGTTTTAATAAATATTTCATTTCATTTCATTTCATTACAACTATATATCTATATCCTAAATGATGTAATGGAAGGTGACTTCAGAAGTATCTTAAGAGATACTCATTTTTCAACGTGACGACTCTGTATATATCAATACAGGGAGAAAAAAGCAGCCCTTGCTGAGTTTCTTGCCGGTTCTCCTCAGTACAAGGTCTCCCGCCGTAGTTTTGCGAACCGATGGCGTAGCTTCTGACCTTCACAAGTGCTTGTAACAACCTAGACTGAATAAATGAGTTTTCATTTCATTTCAGTTATTAAAGAAAATTCCGCTAAGTCGAGCGCGAAGGAAACACTGCCGTACCATCCTTTACTGGAACCATTTCGCCGCATTTTCAGACCTCTATTTGAGAACCTCTAGATAAGACATATCAAACATTTAAAAGCCTTTCTTATTGCCAAGTGTTATTATGACTTAAATGAATTTTTCTATGACAAATCACCCAGCCAATGGAATGCTTCAGACTCTTAAGAATTTAATTTATAATGAATGTATTTAAATGAAGAATAAATAACAATATTTTAATGAATTTATGGTGTCGATTCTAGCATGATTCTCTAAACTTTTTCATTATGTATTGGGAATGATAAGGATACACTGGTGTCGATTCTGGCACGATTCTCTAAATCTAAACTTAAATTTGACAACAGTGTATCCTTGTCATTCTCTATACAGAATGAAAAGGACAGACTGATGTTAAATTTAGTTTTAAGTTTAGAGAATCACGCTGGAATCGACACCAATGTCGTCAAATTTAGGTTTGGGTGGAGAGTCATGCTAGAATTGACACCAAACACCAATGTATGTAAAGAATGATTAAAACTTAGTTTATAAATTATATTGTGCAATTATATAATAATATATTTTAAATAGATTATAACCCTCTAAAGTTGCTGTGCCCTTGCAGGGCGTCACATTGTTATTGTATTTATTATGTACCACCTTATTTTTGTGAATGTGATATGCAATGAATGAATAAATAAATAAAAGACCAGAACGAATTTTCGTCATTCAGTAAGCTATAAACACATACTTAATCGGGGGGCATTTCATTAGTTTTTAGAGATAAACAAGCAGCTCCATCGAGACTTGGCTAGTTTTTTACAGAATGTTTTTAGTGGGATTGTACTTACTAGGAAAAAAAAAACATGGACCATGCAGCGGACAGGTATGCGAACCCCGCACACTACGTTATCCGATATCCGACAATTAGGGCTGCGGTAGCATAATTGTGAAGTGAAGCGACAGCGAAAAAGAGGCAATCAGTACCCCTAGCTCGAACCATTATCGAATTCGAATAGTTTGCAACCCGAAATGTCAATGTCAAATTTTGTATGGAAACTTGAACAGCAGCGGCACAAAGTACGAGTAACGAGAACTAAAAATCAGTACACATTTGACAATGACATTTCGGACTCGCAAACGTTACGAATTCTATATTGGTTCGTGCTAAGGGTACAGATTGCCTCTTTTTCGCTGTCGCTTCACTTCGATGTATTCCTTATAGTTTTCTTGGTTTTTGCTCTTAGGTTCGTAATGATTAGGTACATAAGTATAAATCTTTAGGTAAAACTTATGTAACTAACTGATTTGATGGTAAAATTGCATTATAATCCGGTGTCTCGTTCAAGAGGAAATAAGCGGATATAAGTACAGAAAAACGCGGAAAGCGATTTCATTATTTAGCCAAGGCAAGACACGGGCTGTGAGTAGGGTTGCCAGGCCGCCAAACCTAATAGCCGGACATACTTGCCAGTTTGGCCGGACATTCTGTAAAAAAGCCGGACGGAATGTAGGGTACATTATTAAGGATTGTGTGACTCAGTAATATTAGGTACGACAAGAAATTGAAAGTAAAAGTGATCGATTGTCAACACTCTTTATTTATTTTGGCCGGACACGCAATCAAAAAGCCTAACTATGTCCGGCTTTATCCGGACGCCTGGCAAAGCTAGCTGTGAGGGGACTATTATTAAAATCGAAGTATCGTGGTTTAAAACCCTTTCAAAATTGAAAACACAACACAAACAACAGTCAATATCGTACTTCTAAATCTACAGTTGATTATGTAGTATGTGTTCACCTATAATTAGTAAGTGCGCGAGGCGTATAGTGAAGGGGCGGTAGAGATGGCCTAGCGAGGCGTTGAGCGCACGCAGCAGCGCCGTGGCCGGCAGTAGCAGCCGCTCCACCAGCGCTGACAGCAGCACCAGCGTCAGCGGGATCCCGAGCAGCGCGTACACCATGCAGAACAGCTTGCCAGGCTTCGACAGCGGCGTCACGTGGCCGTAGCCTGGAACAACAAACAGGAAAAGTTAGCGCGAGCTTATACTCGTTCATGACCGGATTTAAGGCAGTAAACTGTGACTTACAACAATAAGCATAAAAGGCCCCTTAAACAAAGATAAAAACCAAATTTAGATTAGTCACTAACTTGTTGCCCGAGGTGCCAGATTTTAAAATACGCCCATGCCCCAGGGCCTCTTCACCTCTAAATTCGGCTCTGTACACGTTGGTGAATTGTACTCACTCTCTTTTATAGGCTGCTGTTGACGACAGCCGTGCACCGAACCAAAGAAAAACGTGTTGACCAATCACAAGGCCTACTTTACAGGCGCCAGAGGGGTGCGGATGCGACGGGGGGATAGTCGCGTGATGAACAGCCATTCAGAAGGCTTACTTTTTTAGGAATGCGCGGGGCCAAATTAGTAGCGCTAAAATTAGACGAAACATTTGTAAGGCAAATTGTAGTCTGCCAGGAACAATCATCATGTGAACAACTAGCCAAAAGAATAGAGAAATTACTAAAGCAACAATCATCATAATAATCATCATCACTTTCATCACCGACATCTTGGTGTTTCGAGTTGGATCCATTTTCGAAAACCTGCATTTTGACGAGTGTACTCAATTGTTTAAAGTTACTATAAAAAAAAGAATGAAGAAAGCAACGCAATTCAAAATAACATAGATGGCTTATCACTATTAAGTAAGATTGAAGTTGATCCTAAACGAACTTCGGGTATTAAATGAATAATTTTAAATATCGCACTATAATTTAGCACATACGATGATGGAACTGGATACGATTACCAGTGATGTGCTCTAAAGCACGGCTCCTAATCGGATTTGTGAGAGCCATTGGACTTGATGTACGTAATATAAATATAAAGGCTTTAAAATAACTATTTTGTGTCGCCGAACCATAAACGCCTAGGGTGGTTGTAAATTTAGCTCGATCTGCTAACCAAATAATAATTCTACGCTGGCTGGCGTGGTAGAAAAAAACGTAAAATACATCAGTGGTAATTTTCTTCTGCATATACTTAGTTATATTTCTAAATTATCGTAGTACACTTTTCGTTTCGACTTCGTGTAGTTTTCATGTAGATCTTTTTTAAATATTGCCAATAAGATGGGTAAACGGGTACAACGTACGTACTCCGAAAAAATCACAATTGCAAATAAATATATGTTACATTAAAAAACAATTACTACCTAATTATAAACAGTAGCAAATGAATGAACTCTGTAATTAAGTAAAGCTGTTATAATTAAAATTTCGTGATAATTAAAATAACGAGCGCAGTATTTCGTTACCTATCTAACCTATGAAATCTTACATAATTTACATATTAGGAATATTTCATGAATTTAAACAATATCAGTAAATATATTTTGTATTGGTAGAAAGGCTCCAGTTAGACCTTTCGTTGTTGATGTGGCTACAGGCAGTAACGTTGCGTTTGCGGGGCGTGCAAGTGTATTTCTTACCGATGTTGGTGACGACAGTGGAAGAGAAGAACAGTGACTAGCTGAAGATCAAGTTGGGCCCACCGCTGCCGTTTCTTGAGGCAGTAACGCTACTGTTGATGAAGGTGCAAGTGATTGTCTTACCGATCGTGGTGACGACAGTGGAAGAGAAGAGCAGTGACTGGCCGAAGTTCTAGTGGGGCCTACCGCTGACGTTGATTGAGGCAGTAACGCTACTGTTGATGAAGGTGCAAGTGATTGTCTTACCGATCGTGGTGACGACAGTGGAAGAGAAGAACAGTGACTGGCCGAAGTTCTAGTGGGGCCTACCGCTGATGTTGATTGAGGCAGTAACGCTACTGTTGATGAACGTGCAAGTGATTATCTTACCGATCGTGGTGACGACAGTGGAAGAGAAAAATAGTGATTGCCCGAAGCTCCAGTTGGGCCCACCGCTGACATTTTTTGAGGCAGTCACGCCGCGGTTGCTGGCCCGTATCACCTCATCCAGCAATGTCTCTAGGTCCTCATCTGGAGAAAATAAAGCTGTGTTAAAATAAACTTTTATAAAACTATAATACTCGGTAAGCTCTGTGAAGTTTTTTATTTGTACTATTCTCCCCAGGTCAAGTAAGAACTACGATAGACGAAGAGAATTTAAAAATCTATTGACAGGTGTAAAAAGATTTATGTTACCAATTGGTATACCTAAATTGATGATTATTTTGGTTTACAAGCTTAGTCTAAGGCCCGTATTATAGAAAAATTCTCAGTAATTAATCTAGTCTTGAGCATAGTTTGAAAGGGATGTCGCTATATATGTGTATCGCACATAGCGACATCCGTTTCTAACTGTACTCCAGTAAAGATCAACACTTAGTTGTAATTCTGCGATACGGGCCTTAGAAACCCATTTTAGTTTTAGAATAGGTACGGTAAAAATAATATATCCTTCATTTTCATTTCAACGTATTGACTGATCGAATAAGAATCAAAAAATAATTAGACAGAACGAAGATTCAATAAGCGTAATTTAGCTATAAGAAACTCGTACATTATTATCTTATTTGTATCTACGATGAACCCAACGCCATATATAATGGAACCTCTGGGATTTCAGAATAAAAGTTAGTACGAAAGTATACTATTGTGTCTGGTATAGGTTCAGACGCTGTATGTTATATAAAAGAATAGCACCCGAGAGACGCCGCAGTGTTACCATAAGTCTAAATATACATGTAACGTTTTTAAATCCTATTAAAATTGTAGAAATAATGTTTATAAAAGGAGGTGCTCGATAGAGTAGTGAACTGCGATTATGGTAGTTGTGCAATGGCCAGTCATATGATGGGTGACCAAAATTTTATGAAATCGAACTCATTCCTGCTTCGGAAGTCTGCAGTTTTTGGTAATTTTTGTCTGAAATAAGTGAATCGTTTTGTCGGCGAATAGTCCAATGATGAATCGGCCGTCGGAGAACCTTAGCGGAATCTTTGGTCTCGGCTAAGCCACTATCTGCAGATTCGCTTGATGCTAAGAGCTAAGTTATAGTCAACAGAAATTCGCTTTGGATAATGGTTAATCACTTGGCAAATAACAAACACAATTTCTATACACTATGTATTGACTATACTAATAGCCTACGCAGCGGACTTTTGTATTATGTGCTTAAGCAGGTAGTGAATAAAAGACTTACGGCCTTAAAGTCGTGTTGTCTGTTACGAAAAAAAAAGAAACAACCGACCTTATATAACTTTAACTTTTTAATACAGCGTCGGCTTACTTACATCAAATATTTACACACATCCGTACACACCTGGCGAAACACAAACTGCTTTATTAAGGCGTTGAGCAGACGACGGGGCGGGGCGGGCATTTTGTCCGCGAAGCAATAAAGACCGCGTCTGCCCGTCGATGTCTGCGGCTGCCCGCGCCGCGTACACAAAGCACACGACGGGCAGAGGCGGTTAGTTTAGGACGTTCGTTCTAGTGAATAGTCCATGACCGCCCCGCGCCGCCGTCTGCGTTACTGCATATAAACTGGTTTGTATGATCCACGGCGGGCAGCCGCGGACATGCCGCGCCGCCAGTGCCCGCCGGGCACCCAAGGCGCGGTCTTTTTGACCGCTGTGTGCGTTTAAAGTATAGGATTCACTTTGTGCTATTATTCGCGGCGAAATTGACCGGCCCGCCCCGCCCCGTCGTCTGCAAAGCGCCTAAAAGTTCTTGCGACGAGAATGTGTAATCCAAAAATAAAGCTTGAAATCGTAACACTTTATTGCTTTAAACTGCTTACATTGTCTGCTGGTTTGCTGCTATTGCTAATTGGACTTCACTGTTGCCAGCTTGGAGAATTGGCCAACTCCCATATCAAAAATAATTAAGTGGTAACATGGTTTCGCGTAGTTGTTATGTTTAGGTACAGACATCTCTCTTATTTTAGAAAATCATAATAATTTATTCAGTTTAGGCTGTTACAAGCACATATGAATGTCTAGAAGCTACGCCATCGGTTCGTAAATCTACGGCGCGGGAGACCTTGTACTGAGAAGAACCGGCAAGAAACTCAGCAAGGGCTTTTTTTTTCTCCCTGTTTTATCATTTACAGAGTCGTCAAGTTCATTACATAATGTGAAATTATACATTAATTGTTCACCTGCATTTTGATTGCTGTGTCACACAGTATAAATAAAAAAAGAGTTATTTATAATAGGTGTAATTAAACATTTACATCTTAAATATCAAAGTAGTTAGGGCAGACTCATCTCCGCTGGCAGCAACCGTTCACGAGCATGACGCATGAACCAGCCATGCATCGCTTCGCTCAACCATAGTTTAGGGAACGTAACGACTATAACATATAACTACAACATATTATTAAGAGATAGGGTACAGCTGATTTTCCGCGCAGTTGGAGAGCCCGTCGGGGGAGTAACCTTCATCTTACTTATGATCACAGTAAGATAACACTACCTTTTGGTAGTGTTGTTTCTGACGGTGAGTAAGGTTCCAGGGCTCCACGGGGTACAGGATTGGGTCAGGGAAGGCAACGATGCGAGTGATATTTTTAGTATCGCCAGCTGCTATAGGCTAGTGTGGCCTAAGTGGCCATGGTGATTTTAACATTAAAAAACATTGATTTATATACTAGCGGCACGCCCTCGCTTCGCTTCGGTGTAGAGCTGAAGTGTAGACTACAGTTTTTGTTCTCAGGCTTGTATTATACACAATGACATTCATCTATAATTCTTCTTATACCTGCATGCAAAGTCTCAGCCCGATCGGTTTAAAATTGACAAAGTTTCATGCAAACTTTCATTCCCTATTTTATCCCCTTGGGGGTAGAATTGATCAAAATCCTTTCTTAGCAGATGCCTACGTCATAACATCTACCTGCATGCCAAATTTCAGCCCGATTCGTCCAGTGGTTTGGGCTGTGCGTTGATAGATCACTATGTCAGTCAGTCACCTTTGAGTTTTATACACACATCAAAAGTGTCTAGGGATCAAGCATTTTTATGCGGATTTCTTGAGATTGAGATGTGGCTTTGTAATAAATTTATGATTTTATAAATTTATATGGATCCTTTTTGGTGCATTTCATAATTTGAATCAGGAACTGTGAATCAAATTCGAGTAAAAGATGAAAATCAGCTGTCAATATTTTCCCTATAAAAACATACAACGCATTGAAGACATTATTAGTGCTACTGTTTCCCTACTACTGATTAAAACCAACGTTATTATGGAGCGGCGACGTCATTTAAGCAGGGAAGAAATGCTCAGAGCCGTGGGAATGATAGAAGCTGGTTCCCGGCAACGTACTGTGGCTTTAGCTCTGAATACAAGTCAGAGTGTTATCAGTCGACTTTGGACACGATACCGAAGCACTGGTACCGTGGCTGAGCGCCATGGAGGACGGTATCGCTGCACCACACGGAGACAAGACCGATACATTCAAATCTTAACTCGAAGAGCTCCAACAATAACCGCCATGATGTTAGCCGTGAGGCTTCATCACTCTTCAGGGAACTTAATTAGCGACCAAACAGTCAGAAACCGCTTGCATAAAGTGAACCTTCATTCCCGAAGACCGCTACGGGTACCACCTATAGCAATGCACAATCGTAGGATTCGATATCAATGGGCTCTTGAACACAGAAATTGGGCAGAAGAACAATGGCGTTTCGTGTGCTTTTCTGATGAGTCTCGTTTTGGTATGAGACCGGATACAAGACGTATACGACACTGGAGAACCCCTGGACGCCAACAGCGATTAAAATCCTGCCAGGAAGTCCATCCTTATAGTGGTGGAACCATCATGGTATGGGCGGGTATTTGGATCGGCGGAAGAACTGAGTTGATTTGGATCAGAGGCAACCTCAACGCTCAAATTTATGCTGAGACGATTGTATCAGACGTCATCGTTCCTCTACAAGTGCAAATCGGTCCCTTATTTCAGTTAATGCATGATAATGCACGACCGCACACCGCAAGAGTTGTAAGACAGACTCTCGCCGCAGCTAACATCAATGTCCTGCCCTGGCCTGCTCAGTCGCCAGACTTGAACCCGATTGAGCATGCATGGGATATGCTACAGAGAAGAGCTCTGCCGAATATGGAGGGTATCCAGTCGCAAGAAGACCTTTTTTTGTTGTTGCAACGAACATGGGCGGCCATTCCACAGCGTGATTTGGATGAACTCATTTTGAGTATGCCAAACCGATGTTCTTGTGTTGTTAGTGTTCGCGGTAGAAATACGGATTATTAATTGTTTAAGTTACCCAATAAAATTTTAGAGAAAACTGTTATTTCAGTCTTTTTTTCGAACTTTTGTGTTAGTGGTTCAAATGTCAAAAATCCCTTTATTAGGAAAATGGCAAATTTCTTTATTAATGCAAAGGTGACTTGGTTTATCGTTACTGTGACAAACGAAAACACTTTATTTGATGAATCCTTAAAGAAAATTTTAATTAATATCAATCAGGAGAAAAGTTATTGCAAAAATATATGTTGATCCCTAGACACTTTTGATGTGTGTATATAAAGATTGATACGATTTACTAGCCAAGTACATATATTTTTTCTCGATCATTACAATAAAACTTTCCAGACTTCTCGTTACTAAATTCAGTTAGATTAGAGGTTATATTGTTTTAAACTTTCATGGTCACTAACATTATAGCTATTAACGAGACTCATAAAAAACAAGGTACATGGTAACAATCCCGTTAATAGCTATAAGATTAGAGGTTCTTCACATACCGATAGAGACATGCAATCAATTACCTACTCCATTTGTTCAGCACTGCCAAAGGTTATCATTAGACACTAAATAATTCCCCAGAGAGCAGACATTATTAATCGTAATAAATGACTGGCGTGTGTAAGAAGAGCGAAGGCAGGGGGTAAGTGCGCCGATGACCCGTAGATGCGTGGGGTCACGAATCAACGTATGACGCGCTGTGACGTCACAACATGGCGGACGGTCCGATGTAGACGGGCTGTAACGGATTATGTAACAAGTTGAA